GACTGAATCTCACTCTGTCACCCAAGCTGGAGTGCAGTGGAGCAATCTCAGCTCACTGCAACCTCCCCTTCCAGGGTTCAAGTGATTCTCCTGCCTCAGCCTCCCAAGTAGCTGGAACTACAGTGCACACCACTATGCCTGGCTAATTTTTGTATTTTTAGTAGAGACGGGGTTTCACCACGTTACCCAGGATGCTCTCCATCTGTTGACCTCGTGATCCGTCTGCCTTGGCCTCCTAAAGTGTTGGGATTACAGGTGTGAGCCACCCTGCCCGGCCACATTGACTGATTTTTTAATATTAAGCTAACTTTGTATTCTTTGGAGTGATCACACTTAGTATTTATCCAGTGTTTCTGTTATATTATTTCTAGATTTTATTTGCTAATATTTTGCTGAGGGTTTTTGAATCTATGTGTGTAAGATACATTAATCTATGTTGCCATTTTCATACAATATCTTTGTCAGGTTTTGTATTTGGCACTATGCTGATCATATAAAATGAATTGGATCATATTTCATCCTCCTAACTTTTGAGTCTTTCACATTTTAATCTCATAGCAATTCACTTGCCATTACTTTGTGACTTTGCTGTCATTAATTTTACTTCTACATACTTCATAAACACTACCTTATAATATATATTTTTTGCTTTAAACAATAAATTGCCATTTCAGGGAATAAAGAGAAAAGAAGGTAATCTTTGGAAAATGTATCTTTAGATTGTTATTTTTTTCTCTAAATCTGAAATTCTACTTATCATCTTTTCCTTAAACCTCTTGAAATTCTTCTTGTATTTTTTTATAGATAGATCTGTGGCTACAAATTTCTTGAGCATTTATTTAATCTAAATATGTCTATTTTTATTTTAAAGAAAAATGTAGTTAATTATTTAAAACTAATTTTACGAATATTTGTTATTGTTGTTAATTATTTTAAAGTCACAATTATTATTTTCTGGCTGATGTTGTTTCTGATTAGAAGTCCGCCACCATTTATATAATTGTTCCCTTGTACATCATGTGCTACTTTTCTTTGGATGCTTTGAAACATTTCTCTCATCTAGTCAGCATTTTGACTAGAATTTCCTTGGAAATTTTCTTTGGCTCTTGTCTTTCTTGAGCCTTCCTGAGCTTCTTGGACATGTAGATTGATGATGATAAATTTTGTTTTATAACAAAATTTTAGAAACTTTCAAAAGTTATCCCTTAGATATTTTTCTCTTCATCATTCTCTCTCTTCTTCTGGGTTTTCAAGTATATGCATTATAAACGGTATGATATACTGTTTATGCCTCAGGTTTTTTTTAAATGTGTTTTCTTTTTTTTTTTTTTTTTTTTTTATAATTTTTATTGACCTGTCTTAAAGTACACTGAGTGCTTGTTCTGCCATTTCTAATCTATTCATAAGTTCATCCAATATTTTTTTTCCACTTCAGATAATGTACTTTTTGATTCTGGAGTTTCTATTTATTTTTCTGTTTTCATCTTCTGACATTCTACATCTGTTCAGTGATTCTTGTATAGGTCCTATTTCTCTAGTGAGAGCTCCCAGATGTTCACTGATAAAGACCACATATTTTACTTTGAGTTCTAAAAAATATAATAACTGCTTACAGTAGCCTATCTGTATCTTTGCTTTGTAGTTCTAACAATTGGGTAATCAGTGTTGGCGCACATTGATTATATTTTCTTGATTTTTTTCACCACATTTTCCTACCTCTTTCCATATCTAGAAACATTTTATTAAACGTTGGACATTGCGATGATACATTGCAAGTAATCTGAATTTAAATTTTCTTTGGAAAATGTTACTGAATTTTGCTCTGGCAAGAAGTTAATTTAATAGAATGTCTCCTGCCGGGTGCGGTAGCTCAAGCCTGTAATCCCAGCACTTTGGGAGGCCAAGGCGGGTAGATCACGAGGTCAAGAGATTGAGACAATCCTGGTCAACATGGTGAAACCCCATCTCTACTAAAAATACAAAACATTAGCTGGGCATGGTGGTGCGTGCCTGTAATCCCAGCTACTGAGGAGGTTGAGGCAGGAGAATTGCCTGAACCCAGGAGGCGGAGGTTGCGGTGAGCCAACATCGCGCCATTGCACTCCAGTCTGGGTAACAAGAGTGAAACTCCATCTCAAAAAAAACAAAACAAAACAAAAAAAAATGGAATGTCTCCTGTCTTCTGTCAAAGTTAATCTGGGGGCTTTGTTAGGTTAGCTACAGAGTAGCCTTCGCATATAGGATATACATATGAGTTATGATCTCTTTGGTATCTTACTTTAATCCAGATATGTTAATAAGGTCTTTCCACTCTAAGTGGATCTTTAATCTAACCCTTTCCAGAATTCTCTGAGCCCTGGTAGTCACCATTCTGTTAAGGAAGCAGGATCCTAGGAGAACAAGAGTAATACCCTTTTAAGTTCAACTCCATTTTGAGACTAGCAAAGCATATTCCTTGCCACTTAGGAGCTATATTCATGGGAAGTTTATAGAAAATGAAACAGCCTAAAGATACCTGCAAGAACACACTCCTACAGCAACAAAGTCCAGATGTTCTAATACCCATAACAATACATGTTTGTGAGATAATAACAGTTATGCTTTGATGTACTCACACACCAGACTGTCAAAGCCAGTTCTCTTTAAGTTAGTAATCAATTTGTCATGCTGTCTGCTCACTCGCACATAGACACAGCTTAGCTTAGTTTTTACATAGACAAGACCCCTAGATATGAAAAACTTAAAACTAAGACAGTGCATTCTTCCACTTGCTTTCTCGAGACTCCCTACTCTGTAATGGAGTAGCTTTTAATACACTTGCTTTTTCCACTGCACTTGTGACTCACCTTGAATTCCCTCCTGCATGAGTTTCAAGAACCCTCTCTGGGGTCTGGATCAAGACCTCTATTTCCAGTGACAGTTCCATTCCCTATTCTGTAGATGCTACTTTCTGTTAACCCTCATGGAGTTTCATGTTATGTACATACAGTGCAGGCTTTGACCAAGGACTTGGGAACCCCTATGTGCAGCTCCATCCTCTTCAGTACCCTACTCCATAAGTCCCAACTGGGTCAGCAGTCCTACATTCTATTCTTTGCCTCCAGAGAGACCCTTCTTGGACTCTTCTTCCCTAACAAGAGTTGGGAAATAGGCCCCAAGTACAAAGCTGGCAAGAATATGGGGGGCTAAACTTCCTGTGTTTCTCTTCTCTCATGGATCATTGTGATACTGTGTAACAATATATATTTGGTCTTTGAGCTTGTTTCCTGGCATATGACTACAATCTTTAGATGTTTTCTTGTATGCTAATTACTGACTAATGGCAGGCAACCACTATATAGCTTTGAGGATTGTAAGTGCAAGGGCGGGGGCTGATAACCAGAAAAAAAGTCATGATTACGGCGTTGACATTTTGAGTCCCACTCTACAACTTCCAGTGATGGGGGAGGGACTGAAAATTAAGTTGATCACCAATGGCCAATGATTCATTCAATCATGCCTACATAATGAAGCTTCCATAGAAACCCAAAAGGACTGGGTTCAGAGAGCTTTTGGATAGCTGAACATGTAGAGGTTTCTGGAGGATGTAGCTTTCCAGGGAGAGCATGGCAACTTTTTATCCCTTCTCACTTGCCTTGCCCTGTGCATCTCTTCATCTATATCCTTTGTAATATAGATACCTGCAAGAACACATATATATATATATATATATATATATATACGTATATACATATATACGTATATATATACACATATATACATATCTATACATATATGTATATATATACGTATATATGTATATACGTATATATGTATACACATATATAACATATAAAAATATAAATTTTATACACATAAAATATATATATATGTGTATAAATATATATATTTTTATACACGTATAAA